AGCTGCTGTTGATGGCTTTGCTGCAGCGCTGACCAGCTCCGTGCATTATCCCTCCAGCAGGGTGACGGGGGCAAAGTGATCTGCCTGTTATCTGGAAGGTTTGGACAAATAACACAAAAAAGGTAACAGAGTAACACGCATGTCTATCCAGTGTCTTGTGCTCTGTCTTGATAAAAAAAAAACTTCGGACATATCTATGTAAATGCAGCCTTTTTTTGAAGATCCACTGGGAGCTCCTAGAGTTGGTAGCATTTGTTTGCATCACCTCAGTGCTCTGAATTCATTACAGTTGTGCTTTCAACCAGGCTGTTACTTAAAGTGTTCAGATTATTTTTCACTTTTGGATGAAATTCCTTTCCATGATAATCACTGAAATATCAACCATATAGAAATACTAAAAAAAAAAAAATCTATATTACGTTACATCTATAATCTTGCTGCATTTTTTCAGTGACAAATATGGTACCTTCTTGTTTCCCACCAAATAAAAACTTGCATTTCATCCAACAGGAAACAGAAGTTGATTTAAGTGTAGTCTTGAATCTGTAATAACATAAAAAAGGTATTTGAATATGTTAACCATGGACACTTATGTAAAAGGTCATCTGTGGAAATGCATAGCATATGAACCCATCCTTTATGATCTGCAGCTGAGTGCTTTGATTGTGAACAGTAGGAACCCTAATAAAATCTACGTTCTGTCTCAGAACTGTCACATTTTAGAATAATCCTCCATTTATGTTTCAGAAGTCTCAGTATTTGATGTAAGTGCATAGAGATTTCTATTAGAAGTGTTGTGCTTAGCATTTAAACAAGAAATATAGATTCATATAGCTGTTTGGCAATGTAAATTATTTTTATTTCTTAGAGGGGAAAAAAAAAGTAAAAAGAAACTCAGGGCTCCCTGAAACTTCAGACAAAGCATTGTTCATTATGCTGAGATTCAGTGATCAATGAAACCACAGCCTCTCCAAAGTAAAGCTAATTGAGAGTCACAAAGTTTTTATATTTGTTGCTTTCCCTCCATGCCAACTGCAACTATTGCTTTCAAGTGTAAATATGGTGTGAATGCAGCCATCTCTGAAATAGATAGGGAAAAGATTAGTAGAAAATGATCACTTCTGCATTAGTGCAGACAGTACTGTATAGATTATTTGCTGCGTTCTTCATGACCAGGATCACGATTACATAATCATGGTGAGGACTTACTATCCTTAAGATAATGAAAGGGTGTTTTCTTACCTCAGTGACAACAATTACAAAAGTTCAGAGAAGATACACTGTAATTAAGCTCAGTCAGTAATTTTTTGCATTTTTACTGCAAGCTATATGAAGAAGACTGTATGGGATGTAGGCAAAAGGAAGAAAAAGGTTATGAATGTATTGACAGAACTTGTTTATCGTTTATGTTGACTATAAAGTGTGTTTGTCTTTTAAAGACAAAACCTTCACTTCTGCATAGAAGACCAGATTTAAATTTTGGAAGAGTTATAGCATCATGTTGTCCAAGTTGCCTTTGGGAGCAAAAGCAGACAACATGTTTTAGCCCTACTTTGTCAATAGAATCTATGTAGTACAAAGGATAAGCTTGAAAGCATCTTGTCTGTGATTGATATATGACTTCTTAAACATGATTTGTGGAGTACGCTGATGTATATAATAAATGCACATATATGTATAGTATATGAGATTCATGTATGGATAGCAGATGTATCCGTGTAGTTATCTTACTTTTTTGTCCATGTAAGTTACATATTTTTCACCCAATGGGTAGAGAAGTCTAATGGTATGATGGTGGTGTTAATTTAGATTCAAATGATCACGTACATAAACTGAAAGCAGTCACACACCAGAACTCCTCCTTAGGAAAAGGAAGCCCAAGAAAAGTCCAGCTCTGTTCTAGATAATATCTGCTTTGATATACAAACACATACACAATGGGCATGTGTTAAAGTGTAGGTCAAACAGCTGTAAGTAAGTGATATCGTAAGGAATCTGCTGCCTTTATTTTTCAGCAATTTTTATGTAAATACATAACTGCGACCTCTGTAAGTACAACTGGATACTCTGATTTCCTTTGCTGAATGCGGGGTTAGCCGTTACCCTGTTAACTGCTTTGCACCTCTACTTTCTGTACGTAGTCTGGAATCAAAAGCTAGTTAGTCTTAATTGATTGCAAAGAATAATTCAGTTTGCTCATCTGCGCTGCTGACAGCAGTGAAGCTTTTATTGATAAATCGAGCAGATTCTGTCAAGGCTTTGCATAGGGAATAGAAGTAGAAGTGCTATTTTTGGACATAGCGGCAATCATAGCATTATGGTTCTGTCCTTACTGCCACTAAAACTGTTGTAGGAAAAAAAGTGGTATTTAATCATAGTCGTTATGAAGAAAGGTTTTTAGCACCTTGTCCTGTAATATTGGATAATCTGAAAAATGTGCTTTAAACATGTTAATGGAGGGATGGTAGATGGTGTGTTACTGCCAGCGTTCTCCTAAGAGGAGGCACATCCTGGCAGCAGCAAAGCATTAAATGCATCCTTTGCATGTGTAACTGTAAGAAATATATGAATGCAATTTAAAATGTCAGTCCTAGCTATACATTTATTCTATTTCTGAGCCGGAGGCGGGGGAGAGGTGCTATCCAATTGGGTAGGGGAGCTTTCTGCAAATCAGGCATTTAGTGATTGAAATCCAGAATTATATTTTTCCCTCCCCACCCTACCATGATTAATAGAGATAGAATTAATTCTGTTAATTTGATGTCAGTTAAGTGCAATGAAAAATCGGAGTGCTCTTTGTTGTACAGGCAAATTAGCAATATGTTCTAGAAATCCTAGTATGATATCCTTCTGCAATTAGCTATGATTTAGGCTCATATTGGCTTCAAAAAACTTATATTTACAGCTCTCTCTTTCTTTATTGCATTAATATTATATAGATGCATCGACAGCTGTTGACTTAAGGTTGTGCCCAGGTTGTACTTTGTGCAAGACTAAAATCCTTCCTTTCACACTTCATTTAATGGCTTGAGTTTCCAAGTGCTCCAACTCTTTGACACAACTGAGCTAACTGGATTTTTTTAAAAACCAGTAAAACAACAGCCTAAGTGGCAGAAAAGAGGAGTAATACAGCAAGCACTTTTGTGAGAAGCAAGGAAAAGGAAGAAACTATGGTCTGTTTGCATGAAAACACTTAATCTTGAAAATTACAAAGGTCATAAAAATAGAGAAAAGCTTTTCTTGTTTCTTAATGTGGAACCTCTCTTTTGAAACCGCTTAATAAAATTTTAGATAACTGTAAATCTAGAAAACTGAACTTGTCTTAATGTACGAGAAGAAGCATATCAGCATGCAATGTATTAATTCTCATGTGTGGTAAATAGCTCTTCTGTGACTGGATTTTACAGAAGATTAATATTTTAGTTTTAAACAAGCACCACCTGGAAAAGTTTTAAAGCGTTTTTTTTTTCCCTTTCAAAAAGAAAATTCCAGAAAATAAGCTTGACACATAGTCATATTAAAAAATAGCAAGGTACTACATTTGACTTGTTTCAGAAAGAATAAGAAACAGATGATGAAACAGATTATAAGTTTGAACTTATTTTTAGTTTGCTGATGGATAAATGCTGAGAGAGTACTTGTTAGAAGGTCCTCACAATCAGCTATTCTTACAGCATCTCTGTATCTCAATTTTTTGTCAACTCATGACAGTCATATCTAAGACCTTCTCACGTGCATGAGGTTGTGCCAGCTTCTTCACAGACTATTTCACAAGTAAGGGATGAGAACAATTTTTGCGATACAAAATATTTTTCTATTTCTGATGTACTCACAATTTTCTGCAAGTTGGTGGATAGTGGCCTTCTACAAGCAGCATGTTATGCAGGAAAAGTGAAAAACATTTTTTTGAGAAAGTGCTATCTTGTTTTTTGTATTTTTAAAACTCTGTTTAGTCTTCTGTTCCATACTCTTCTATATCCAAAAGCTGCAAGACAGAGTCGATATACTTGATAAAACTAGCTTCTTCTGTCAATTACAATGAATTTACTGAAGTGTTAGAAGTCATGTGCCTCATGCTTCATTTTACATGCCTTGTAGTTTAGATAACCTTCATACAGTGTTGCTGATTGGTTGGTGGTGAAGTTAGTGAATGACCTGATGATTACATTTAGGGACTTACCAAAAGAGAGCATCCTTGGAGCTTGGGAAAGTATCTGGTCGGGGCAGTGTGAGAGATTTTACTGATAGCAGTATTTGAGCAAAAGAGTGAGTTACGGGGCTTGTAAATTAGGCAGTCAAAGCTGAATAATCCAAAATGTCTCATATTTTACTCTTATAGAGGTGTTTGCCAACAAAGATAACACGCCTAATCCCAGACACCTACTCTAATGTAGTATCCTGCATGTTTTGCAAACTGTTAACAACGGAGACCTGTGAGGAGCCTTAATATTTACAGCCTAGAAACTTGGCAGATTTGGGGGTCCTTGCAGTAAATGAGGAGATCGGGTTTTTTTTTGTTTTGTTTTGTTTTCATAAATGTACTGAGTTTTCTTGATTAATTTCTACATTTAAATGCAAAAAAAAAAGTTTCATTATGAAAAATGCCATATTAATAGCATTTAAAAATGCATTTTCCCATTCCGCTACAGAAGAGGAGATTCTTAAAAGTATCGTCTAATATGGTTTTTCTTGGTTTCCAGTACTATCTAGTAGTATAATAAAAATATACAACTGGACTTACTTAAATATATTGTTTTGAACATGACAAAGTTACATAAGAGAATCCCCTTGCTCTTAAAGAAAAATGCAATTATTTTCTATTCTGAATCTCCAGACTGCTGTTTTAGAAAATCATATCTGATTATTTGCCCAGCGGAAGATTATTGAGTTGATTTAGCTGTGATTTTACTTAACAAAGCTTCAACTGAATTCCTACTGTGGTGTCCAAAAAAGGTAGAGAGATATAAATGATACATTCAAACTGTGATTTTTGTGAACAGGGCCATCAATGCACCCCTCGGAGCTAATAGCGGAGATGAGAAACAGTGGGTTTGCACTGAAACGAAATGTACTGGGGAGAAACTTGACCGTAAATGATCCATCACAGGTAATGATCTTTTTACCAGTAAGCTGAAAATGTCTATAAATCTGAATGTGATTGCTTGTGAATTGCTACTTAATGATTTCCAATATGCATATCATAGGAAAGCTGAATAGCTATACTGGCAGAAAAATATCCAGAAACCTACTCTGTTTTCCTGTTTTTAGTCAGAATGTCAATTATTTATAACCCATCGTTAATGAACTAAATACCTCCCTCTGGCTGACTAGAATTCATCACTAAAGGGGCTTCTGTGATACCACACGTAGAATAAAGTTTGAGGAAGCATCAGTTAACTGACAGAAATGTTACATGTGAAGATTTTGTGACTTAATTGGCTATTGTTGCATCTGTTATTATTTGGAGTGAAAATATTTAATCACCTTTATTTAGGCTTCTCAAGGTACACCTATTTGAGGTGCTTTGATAAAAATGTAAGATGAGCAGCTTGTATGCACTGCTCGAGTGAGTCGCCGTAAAGCAACCTTTGTTCATATAGCAAGACAGTCCAACCACCGTCTGACCAAGGTGACCAACAGCCCTCACTCATCCTGAAAAGCCTGAGTAAATGGACAGCTCATAGTGCCTCCACAGATCTCCCTTTGCATTGAAACAAAGCTGTATTTTTATGTTTATTCCAGAGACAAGTACCATATGGGCAGTATTAAATTTATCAGTGATGTAGGGATTAACGAGGATACTTGTTTTTGATTTCTTTTTTCTTCTTTTTGGAAGAGTTTTTTTATCTTTATATCCTCTTTCACCTTCTGAGTATGGCTAAAGTTAAAAACATCACAGCAGAAAGCTTTGCTGTGTGCTGGACCAGTTGCATACAATTTGAAGAATTCAAGGTCTCAAAAGTATCTGTGCTGTGCTTACTGCATTACTGTATATCATTTATATGATTAGAAAATTTTGCATTGCTAAAACATTTCATGAACATTGAAAGACAAATAGTGTAACAGTAAGGTAGAGGTTTGTAACATCAATTTTCCTAACTATTACACTGAGGCAGAAAAAATAATATTCATAAATTGACTTTGAGTAGGACTAGAGTCTTCCCCATCCTCCAAGAATGATAAATGACTTATTTTAGGGCATCATGTGGGCTCCAAGATTTGCTGTTTTTTTATGGAATATTTTAGAGATACTTCTTTCCCTAGGAGTATGTTTCGTATGTTACTAATATTTCTTTTGTATGGCCCCTGCATTATAGCATCGACTTCCCTTTGAGGCAAAATGTGTTTCTTCGTTGTAGCAAATATGTGGTTCCTGTGAAAGTGTCTTGGCTGGTGTGGTAATACAAATGCGTTTGTGCCTGTGGAAATTAAATTTACACATGGAAGTGTCAAATTTAATACAGAACTCTGAATTGAGGGGTTATTTTTGTTTAAGAACTTAGTATCTTACTGCATTTACCTAGGAATTTGTCGCAAGTGAAGGAGATGATGATCCAGAAGTTGAATTTTTAAAATCGCTGTCAACCAAACAAAAACAGAAACTTCTAAGGTAATGGATGGTACCCAGTAGAGGGGTTCTATGTAGCTGGTGATTCTGAGACCACAGCTTTCTTTTGCATGCTTGTCTGTAAATCTTCTATACCATTGTAGAATTTAGCAGCATCGTGGCAGAGAAAATACTTAATTTAACAGATACTTGACCACAAATGGCATTATGCAACATGTTTTTTTTTTTTTTTTTGCATGATAAACTGGTGGGATTTTTTGCTCTCTTTTGTTTTTTGATTTTTTTTTAATCTGGGTCTTTTAGTCTAGTTTTGATACCTCTGGGACTTCATTTCTAATTTATTTCTGATGCTGAAATAAGCACTCTAGTATATGTATTGACTCATTTAAGATACTGTTAATTCCTATTTTAAAATAGTCTTGCACTCCGTTATAGAGAGCTTCATCTTCCAGTATTAAAACTGGTATGTCCTCGCTTATTGATTTACAACTTGGCAAAGACTATAGCTGTTGCAGTGCAGGTAAATGGAGGCTGCCCTGTGCCCCAGCATCGCGGCTGCCGCACGCTCAGCTCTGCTCCACGTCAGGGGGTGCAGGTTGCTGATGCAGCTGAGCCAGCAGAGGGAGCTGCCCGGAGTAATTTATTCTGAGAACTGCAAAAAAAAGGTTTTCTTTCCTTGCCTCTGTCCTACTGATCACATGTGATTAAGGTGGTTCATGTTTTTTCCTCTGTTAATTTACAACATTAAAGGAAGAAATGTATATATAGATACATGAGTAGCTAGGTACATATTATATTTGTATATATAATCAGTCATTCTCTGAAAATACTGGGTATATTTTATGTTAATTTTAAGTAACAAATGTTGTGTAGTCCGAGTCATTTAAAATGTTTGAACTCGCAGGTAAAGCACAACTTAATTGCAGTACTTTATATTTTCTAAGTTGAAGTTCAGCGAATACTCAAGTCCTCTACATTTCAGGCAGAAATATTCTTTAATATACTGAAAGTGTTTTTACTTTTTCATCGCTGATTCCTTGTAAAGAATAAACAGAGACAGCAAGGGGCTGAAATCAAAAATAGGTAAAAGCAATTAAATGGCAGTGACTGTAGTGTGCATGACAGAAGATGGCTAGAAATGATAAATTTCTGTTTGTGACAGAAGAAATGATCAAAAACAACACCATTATTTGCCCGCAGAACTGTTTTTTCACTTTCCATCGTTATTAGGAAATTAATACTAATTGCCAATTTTTCATTTTCAAAATCTCTTACTATGAAAGTGCACAAACAAAAAGCAGCAAATTATTTTCAAAGTCTCCAGAGTTAAGTTGACGTGAAAGAAAAGTACTGCTAAGTACTTTACTTACAATGCACAAATTCACTTTTTTTTCCTCTCTAAATTAAGTGGGGTTTTTAGGTTTGTTTGTTTTGGTAAGCATATTTCCTATTTGGAGAGAGAACCAATATGGAATACAGGAGGATTGTAGCTATGGTTAACTCAAGGTCATAAATTTTAAAATGAGACTTTGTAGAAAGGAGAGAAATCCAAGATGCTTTTATAGAGAGTACTGTATTTACTGTAAAGTAGTGAGCAATAGAGACATATTTTTAAATGTCTTAATATATCTGATTATTCTACTCTTATTTTGAAAATAAAAGGAAATTGGATCGTTTGGAAAAGAAGAAAAAAAAGAAAGACAAAAAGAAGAAAAAGCAGCAAAAGAAAAAAAGTAAAAGTAAACACAAGAAACATAAGACAAGATCCTCTTCCTCATCCTCCAGTGAGACTTCAGGAAGCAGCAGTGATAGTGAGACTGACAGCAGAGATAAAGCAGCACAAAAGAAGATGTATTCTAAGAAAAGAAAAAAAGACAAGTTTTCAGAGGCTAGCAGCAGCGATTCAGAAGGAAAGGCGAAGACTAGGAAGGAAAAACTTTATGAAGATCTCTCCAGTAGTCACGGTAACAAGGACAAAGATAGGGAGAAGTATAGACTTTTAAAGCAAGATAGTTCTGCAGAGAAAAACAAATGGAACTCCTGTGAGGAGGAAAGAAAGTCCAAAAGTAGATACCAGAGCACCAGCAAGGGAGAGCCTGAAAGAAAGGAGAGGGATGGCAGAAGCCAAAGCTTGGATGAGAGGAGCAGGAGAAGCCCCTGCACAAGTCACAGTAGTAACAGGCAAAGGCAAGTAAGAAAAAGTCCAAGTCAAAGCCCTGGTGAAGAACGGCGCAGGAGAAATGAAACCAGAAGCCCCAGCACAGATGTTCACAGGGAGAAGAAAAAATGTAGAGAGAGCTACGGAGACAAGCGTGGTAAAGCGGAGCACAGGGAGAGCAGCCGGCGCAGCAGAAGCAGAAGCCGGGAGAGGAAAAAAAACAGTGCAGGGACAGGTGCAAACAAAAATGTCTCCATTTTTGATGAATACCTTTAACAAGGGCTCAATTATGTATTGCTGCTCATTTTCCAACCTCTGTAACTCTCATTTCCTACATAAAACCAACAGCATAATTTCTATAATGTGGGAATATTTGTAAATTAGGTACAAATGTTACTGTATTTTTCTTACAGTGTAAATATGCTTGTTGTAAGTATTTCTTGTATTCATGCAGTAAGTCGTAGACCATAGACCTGATTTTAGTGTTTTAAAATATTTCAGAGCAGTATGTGACACTCTAGGTTTTGACAGTGATGATTTCTGCTTCAATGCGACTGTGAGGGGAATTGGAGAGTAATTTGGGAAGAGTCCTGGAATATTTTAAATGATAACAGACGTTTGAGATAAAACGTCTGGATAAAATCACTGCTTCAGGTGTCAAAACATCAGATTGTAGAGGGTTTTTTTCATACAGAAACATTTTTCCTAAAGTTCCCTGTAAGAGATCAATTTTATGAGTTGAAGCAACAGAGAGACATAGTTCACGTAAGTGTGTAGCCAACGTTTTTTGACCTCCTGCGGTGTACAGCTTGGTCAGGGCTATCTAAACATCTTGAACCCCTGTTGATATATGTCAGTACAATGTCAAGTTATTGTTCAATAATCTCAACACATGAAAAGAATAGTTACTGCCTCGACTGTTTAAGGTATTTCATTGTTTGTGATAGAAAGTTCCTGTAAATATTAATTCTTTGGTTTCTTTGGGGGGAAAAACAATTTCTTCATGATTGTGAAACATTTTCTGCAACCATTGCTATAAAGATGAACTTCCATAATAAAGCGTCATATTGTTTAAAAGCAGTAAGAATGGGCATACTTGCCAGTGTCCTGAGTCAGTACTAATACAAAGGGCAACATTCTCCCAAGTTGTTCTTATTGCAAAGAGGCTGTTTCTTTGCCTCTTTGTGGTGACAGGTGGAAATATATTAGTTAGCAGAGAGGTGAAAAGGTGTCACCCTACTCAGTATTCTGGCAAGCAGCTTTGGTTTAGCCCTCCTCACCCACAGGAAAAATGGGGTCTTTCTTGTATTACCAGTCCCCATCTGCCTCTTAAAATCATCAGAGAAAAACATGGATATCAGATGGGGTTTAGTATGTGTAGAAAGGCCTGGCCTGTGTTTGAACCACATGTGCATGGCCTCGAAAGGGGGAGTCCGTTGGAATTGTCGACATTCCCTTCAAACCGCCTTTGGCAGGCCTTGCTGCGGGTGCTCTCGGTGCAGGAGCTGTGAGGTGCAGGGCGCACACGGCTCTGTAGAGCCTGTGATGATAACGTGCATGTGAAAGCGCGGAGGCAGAGGGAGCAGGAAGGAACTGCCAGAAAGCCCCTTGGGTTAATCTAAACAAAAACTCTTGTGAAGAGTTTATTATTCCTCTGGATAAGGGAGGACAGACTAAAGTGTTAGGGGGAATAAGGCATGTGCTGACGGAACACGTTAGGGGCAGCCTGGACGCTGCACGCGCTACCCAACGAGCCCGGGAACGTGCATCTAGCCCCGAGCCCTTCGCTGCCGCCAGCCCGGGAAGGCCCGGCGGCCCCGCGCGCCCGGCAGGAGGTGCTGCCGCCCAAGGATGGCGGCGCCGGGGGGAGGGGCGCGGCACCTCTAACGGCCGCTCCTAACGGCTGGCCGTGTCCTGGCGGGGCGCCGGGGGCGCCCCGCCCCAGCGGGGGGGGGGGGGAGCAGCTACGGGGGTGACTTCGGGACCAAGTCCCCGCGCGGATCGTTACAATAAATATCCCCGAAGGAAGCTCTCTATTTATGTTGTCATTGATTAATTCTCGCTACCTCATTTGATTTCGATTTAGAGCGATTTGATTCTAATTTAATTAGCATGTAATTTGGATGTACATAATTACTGTAATTATGACATTCAGGTAAGGCAGCCTTAGGCTGGGAGGCAATTTCGCATTTTGCGGCAGCCGCCTTTAGGGTTTTTTCTTTGTGTGAAAGTTCCTCAGACCATATAATTATCGCCAACATGTACGAAAGAATGGTGTCATTTATTCCTAAAAAGGTGACATGCTTCCTATTTTGCCGGTTAAACGAAGCGGCTCCGCGGCCCCGCGCTGCTCCCTTCTGCGTTTCGGAGCAGCCTGCGGGTGATGGACGTTTTCTGACCCGGCGGGGCAAAGGCGACGCGAAGCGCCCCTTGATCACTGAGCTGAGAATCGCCACCGCGGCCGGGCAGAAACCGGACCCGCGTGGCCCCCTTTGAAGGGGTTTATTATAAACGGGAAACAAAAGTGACTCCTGCCCCGCGGCCCGCGGCAAAAAGGAGCTGCGCGCCGGGCGGAGCGGCAGATGCGTTCGCTTCATGCGCCGTCTTTATGCGGGTCGGTGGCCAGCAGAAGAATCGGCTTTCCGATGTTATTTGCATTCCCTGATTTAGGGGGGGATTAAAATATTTGTATTCCTCCACGCCGTACCGGGCAGACTAAATTAACTTCGTTTTTTTAAATCTCCCCCACTTTTTTTTAATAACACAATTATCTCATTTAACAATTTGCCTTTAAAAAAATACTGTGGCTGTTAGGTTGGTGGTCAGGAGACAAAGGGAGTGAAAATAATTTTCATTTCAATAATTGCCTTCTGGTCAATTTAACTGTGCCTTATTTTGAAAGAGCCTGTCTAAATGAGATTCCTGTCCCAAATGTGTTCCCAGGCCTTAGCCCAGCCTTTAATTATTCCCGAGTTTTTTTCTTCAGAATAAGACGCTGCACTGAGTAATCACAAAGAAGTCAGAGAGCATCCTTGAACCTTTTCAATAGCAGAGCCACTGATATTCAAATAACATGCAAGGACCATTTGACTGCATGGGGACATAAGCATTTCCAATTCACTATTTGCATAGATCAACTGTCTTTGAAAAGGAAAGGAGCAGTTGTCTTCCATAACATTAAAAAGCCTAGTTATCAAATCAAGTGCTTAGTTTGGGGCTTTTAAAACGTTTACATTTTATCTCAGGTTGCCCTTTACCGTTTGACATGCAAATTTGGTGCAGTTAATTTGGACAATTAAAAGGATCTTCAAGGGAGCTTTGTCACCGAGAATATCCCGAGTTTTCCCCGTGGACCAGCTGAGATAAAGTTGGCCAGAACAAATGATGTCTAGGAGATTAATTAGATATTTGATAAGACATGAATCCCTAATAAGGGAATACAAGGCACAGGGGGCTGCTGTGTGCTCTAAGTCAAAATTAATAACATTTAACAAGATTTTCATTTAGGCATGAAATGTCTTTTCCGGAGTATTGACTCTAGCGATTTATCCCCTCGAGATCACTCCCCAGCCTAGGAAGCCTTGTGGCGCTGAAGGCTTTTAAAATTAAATAAATAGTTCCTCGGCACACTTCAATTTCGGGCGATTCGGGGTCAGTTTCGCCAGAAAAAGAAAAAAAAATCTCTTAGCTCGGAGCGATTGTCGGGGGTTTTGGTGCGGATTGGACTAGCTATATTTATTACTATTATCAAAGCTAATACGGATGGCAGGAGCTCTGGGAGCGCTGAGCTCGCCCCGCTCGGGGCCGGCTCCTTCCCCCGGCTCTTAACGCGCTCCCTGTTTTCAATCCCAGTGACCTGGGGAGGACGGGGAGGGATGCGAAGGCTCCCACTGAAACCGCCTGGCCCCTGTGAGGGCTGCGGGGTGTGGGGGGTATGAATAAGGACAAACCCGCGAGTTTATTGTTCAGAGTCCTTTAATAATACCAAAATGAAAATATGTCGAGATTTTTTTTTTCCATACAGATAAACGCATTTAATTTCTTTAAGTGATCTTAACTTACGTGGGGTTTTTTTTGAGTGAAATGCTAACTCAACATTTTAAATATCTTTTACATATATACTGACTTCCACAAAGTGCATCAGAAATTTAAAATTAAAAAAAAAAATCTCCAAAACTTCCCTGAATTTCAGGAATTCACCAATTAAAAAAAAAGTAAGAAAGAAGAGGAAAAAAAACCCAATTCCCCGAACCAGATCAACATTTACAAGGGGAAAAAATAAGCGAACACAATCTGGTTTTGAACCCTATTTGTACAGATGTTCATGAGATGCAGAGGAGCTGTCTCAGGCTTGCAGTTTAGTCTCTCACCTTAAGCCTCTCTTAGGATGTTTTCCTTTGAACAGGAAAAAAAGGAAAAAAATATACGGAAAAAAAAAACGGGAGAAAAAAAAAAAAAAAAAACTTTGTAACTACTTCGCGGGCGGGACCCGCTGCCCGGGAGTCCGCGGCGGTGGCGGCGGGGCCGGGCCCGGCGCGTCCCGCCG